CTAAATTTGTAGTAAATCACACAACATTTCATTCATGAACGCTGGCGCACATGCAATAAGCTAAGTCGTTTCTCATAAAATAGACACCATCTCCCTCTACGAACATGCGTTTACATCAAGCGCCTTTTCGCGACGATTCTTCTAAGTCTCAGATTTAACAATATGGGATTGAACTTTTGTTTGTTATATATTTGTTTAGAAGAAGATAAATATAATCTTGTTAATTTAAACAACATTATTTCTCTTTTATATATTGGTACTCTCCGTCCCATTTCTCAAATATACATTTGTACATATATATGCATAAACGTTTTCGATTGAAGTTAGAAGAGCATCTCCTCCACTTTGTTCGAACAATTCTTATTTCTTCCCCAATTACTGCACACAATCGTCAGCTGTCTGCCTTTTTACAGCGGATAGCACGTAGTCATTTCGAGAAAGGTCAAGAAATCTGTTCTCGAAAATTCTCTTCCGACCATTTCATATAAATAGCGGCCGAAAATTTCTCCTCCGCTAGTTTGAATTGAAAGTCAAAGCGAGTAAACATAACAAACTTAGCTAAAGTCATTTAGCAAAACAAAAGAGATTAAAACAACTTTTACCAAGTGCATAAGAAACAATTTCAGAATATTATTGAATATTGAAAGTTAAATTCAGTTTAATTGAAAATATTTATTAAAAATACAAAGCCATAAAAATGGTTGCAATTGGAATAGATTTGGAACAACATACTCGTGTGTAGAGTATTCCAACACGGAAAAGTGGAATCATAGCGAACGATCAAGGTAATCGCACAACACCCAGCTATGTGGCGTTCGCAGACTCGGAGCGACTTATTGGTGACGCTGCGAAGAATCAAGTTGCCATGAACCAAAGAACACAGTGTTTGATGCCAAGCGATTAATTGGACGAAAGTATGATGATACTAAATCAGGAGGACATAAAGCATTGGCCTTTTACAGTGGTTAACGATTGTGGAAAGCCCAAGTTAAGTGTTGAATTCAAAGGAGAACAGAAAAAGTTTGCTCCCGAAGAAATAAGTTCGATGGTGCTAACAAAAATGAAAGAAACTGCTGAGGCGTATTTGGGTACATCTGTAAGAGATGCCGTTATCACAGTGCCGGTTACTTCAACGACTCGCAGCGTCAAGCCACCAAGGATGCTGGTGCCATTGCAGGGTTGAATGTTCTCCGATTATTAATGAACCAACAGCAGCGGCGTTAGCTTATGGTCTGGATAAAAACTTAAAGGCGAACGTAATGTGCTCATATTTGATTGGGCGGTGGTACTTTCGATGTTTCCATTTAACTATTGACGAAGGATCGCTATTTGAAGTGCGTGCGACGGCTGGCGATACTCACTTGGGTGGAGAAGACTTCGACAATCGATTGGTAAACCATTGCAGAAGAGTTTAAACGAAAAATAAAAGGATTTGCGATCGAACCTCGAGCGTTGCGACGATTAAGGACCGCGGCTGAACGTGCGAACGTACACTGTCGTCCAGCACAAGCCTCTATCGAGATTGATGCTCTATACGAAGGAGTAGATTTCTACACAAAAATAAGCGAGCACGGTTTGAGGAAATGTTGGTGATTTGTTCCGCAGTACACTAGATCCAGTAGAAAAGGCTTTGAACGATGCCAAAATGGACAAAAGCCAAATCCACGATATTGTCCTTGTTGTGTTCAACTCGTATTCCTAAAGTGCAAAGCTTGCTACAAACATTCTTCGGTGGAAAGAGTTTAATCTTTCTATCAATCCAGACGAGGCGGTAGCATATGGTGCAGCAATTCAAGCAGCCATTCTGAGTGGTGATAAGAGCAGTGCAATTCAAGATGTCCTCTGGTGACGTGGCACCATTATCACTTGGAATTGAGACCGCTGGTGGAGTGATGACCAAATTGATTGAGCGGAACAGTCGTATTCCATGCAAACAGTCTAAACCTTTACGACATATGCAGACAACCAACCAGCTGTCACCATTCAGGTGTTTGAGGCGAACGTGCCATGACCAAAGATAACAATTTGCTGGGCACATTCAATTAACTGAATTCACCAGCTCCTCAGGAGTACCCAAAGTAGATGTAACATTCGATTTGGATGCTAATGGAATTTGAATGTGACTGCAAAGGAGATGAGCACCGGAAATGCTAAGAATATTACTATAAGAACGATAAGGACGGCTTTCACAAGCAGACATCGATCGTATGGTAAATGAAGCTGAGAAATATGCCGAAGAAGATGAAAACACCGTCAACGCATAGCTGCTCGTAATCAACTTGAAAGTTATGTGTTTGTGTGAAACAAGCTGCTGACGAAGCGGAAGTAAATTAAGTCAATCAGATAAAGATCGAGTACTGGAGAAAGTAACGAGACAATTAAATGGCTTGATGGCAATCCACTGCCGAAAAGAGGATTTGAGTATAAGCTGGAGGAGCTAACGAAAATATGTAGTCCAATTATGACAAAAATGCACCAGCAAGCCGGAGGTGCTGGTTCGCAACCTGGTAATTGCGGTCAACAATCTGGTGGTTTTGGCGGTGGTAATTTCGGTGGACCAACAGTCGAAGAAGTTGACTAAATATGAGTCACAAATGTTGTGCAAAAATTATTATAGTAATTAGCACTAGTTTATACAAGACTGAAAGTTCCTAGAGTATATTTTAAGTTCTTTATAAATTGTTAATATTTTAAATGTATGTATGCTGGAATATTTGGCTAGTGCTGAAGTTATTTTAGCGTAATTAGTGAGTTTAATTTGTAAGCATAATTTAAATAAAGGCGACCGCTAGTCCAATATTTTGAAAAGAAAGTGGTGTTTTTTTTCATTTATAGGTATTCAAAATAATATTTTGCAGTTGATCTTCTGTGTTTTATTTATTGATTATTACAACAATCAGGTTCGGGAAGTTTTATAAATGTGGAAATATCTTTTACCTAACAATAGCACAAATTATATATATGACTGTCTGATCTGATACAGATATGCAAGTATGTAAATATGTACTTAGATTATCTAATTGTTTCTACGGCTACTGAGTACCAGATATTGAAAATAGTATTAAGTAAAATCAGCATCTACTTACCACAGATTAGTTTTATTGTAGTTATTTTAAAAGATTACTCACATATTTGCATCATAGATGAAAAAGGTTTTCGTTCTAATTAAAGCACATTAAATTTTTTCCAAAAGTAACAGAAATTTATACAAACTGTTGATACTTGTCACTTGATTTAATTTGGCGGTAGCCATGTTCGGTAGTTATGAAATTGAAACCATAGGAAGGGGAAATTGAGAGCAGAGAGTTTTTGACAAGTGGGGCAGTTTTAATTGTATTAAATGCCACCTGTCATTTATACCGTAGTCAGCCAATTTCCGCTGAGGCTAGTCAAGGTTTATTTGAAATGATTAAATTTTCATAAAACTGAAATTTAAATCAAAAATATAAATTTGTGATTTTAAGTCACTTTACTTTTTTCAAGTCAAACTACTGTAGTAATTCTTCCAAAACTTTTTCTTATCAGCACGTGCTGTGTTCGAATACTTTAATTAACGCTTCAATTATTTCTGAAGAAGACGTCCTACTTAATTTAAATAAGTTAAAAACATCTTTTAGTTACGGCCCAGACATGACACCTTCATGCTTCCTAAAAAATAGTGCCAAATATATTTACTTGCCTTTGACAAGGATATTCAATTCCTCTCTTAAACACGGTAATACCTTCAATATGGAAACAGTCATTTATAATTCCTTTGCATAAAAGTGGATTTAGATCCAACATTGAAAACTATAGAGTTATCGCAAAACTATCAGTTATACCTAAACTTTTTGAAGCTTCTATCACTGACCATATAACCTTTTCGATTTCTCCGTTAATTTCCTCATCTCAGCATGGATTATACACAGACTTTAGCAAAGCTTTCGATAAAGTAAATCTCTCGATTATCATACATAAACTTGATCTACTGGGCTTTCAGCCAAGATTTCTTCAATGGGTAGCTTCCTATCTTTATAATAGAACACAACGAGCGATATTTGAGGATACACCTTCAGATACAATTAATGTTTCTTCACGTGTTTCGCAAGGTAGTCATCTTGACCCGATTCTCTTCTTGTTGTTTATTAACGATATCTCTTCAGTAATAGAATTCTCAAAAATTTTATTATACGCTGACGACGTAAAGCTTTTTAAATCATACACTTCAACTGAGGAAAGGTGGCTGTTGCAATCAGACTTAAATAATTTGGTTGCATGGTGTGATAGAAATGATTTGCCATTGAATCTCAATAAATGTAAGATGATGTGCTTTTCCCGTAAATCTGAGCACCACTCTTCTTATGTAATAAAACACCATATTCTAGAGCAAGTTTTTAACTATGTTGATTTAGAAGTTAATATGGACCCTAAGCTTAATTTTAGTCTTCATATTGATACCATGGTCTTGAAAGCAAAAGCTGTCCTCAGTTTTGTTAAACTTTGGTCTAAAGAATTTAGAGATCCGTATATTACTAAAACACTTTATACAACTTTGGTTAGACCTATATTGGAATATGGCTCTGTTGTATGGAACCCTAGCTACCAAATCCATTCTGACAAGTTAGAGTCTGTTCAAAAACAATTTTTACTTTTCGCCTTAGCGCATTTCCGATGGGATTCTAGAGTAAGTCTACCTCCATACACTAGTCGTTTAAAACTTATTAATCTACCTACACTTTCTAGACGTAGGGAAATGCTTGGCATAATATTCTTAGTGAAAATTTTGAATGGACCAGTTTGCAGTTCTTTTCTCCTGTCTGAAATTAAATTTAATATCCCGGTTTTGACAATTCACACGCTGGTCCGCAATTGAACCTTCTCTATGATATACGTTCTCTGCATTGATCTGAAAATTTGCACACGTCCTTTTCTCTCCAAGAAGCTGCCCATTTATTGGCAAAATTTTGCATGGATTATATCAGATCGGATAACTATAGCATATAGATACTATAAAAACTCTCTTTTTAGTCATAAGCTATATTGGTATTGATCACAATATTGTTAGATAAGTTAATAATTTCTCAACCCGAAAATTTATCTTAATGTATTGACCATATAATTTGCATGTGTATGTTTTATTAATATTATCATCATATTATATGATAGCACCAATTTATACTCTTATATTACATTCCCAGTATATCAATCTACTGATAGTCAAATGCCTGCAGGAGTGTAAATACTTGTGTACAAATAATAAATTTTGACTTTAACTCATGATTTCATGTTTATGGTACCACATTCCAAGGTGTGTAGGTATCAGGGGGCGGTTGATCAATCTTAAAATACAATAGAAAAACATTTAATTAACCATAAGTGACGAAATTGTAATTTTAATTATACCAATTCTGTAAATTCGTCTTGGCATGCCATTCGTATACGAGCAGCCGTCGCCGGGGCATTCAGTACAAAGTTGCCGTTTAGCCGCCTTTCAGCGCGTGCAGCTGATATTGCTTCCTTAATAGCAAAAAATACAGTGCTGCCTATAAATAATGGTGGCTCCCCAACGGCCTGTATAAGATATGTATTGTACTAATATGTATATTTAAAGAGCACAATAAGTGAGCAGTTAGTACCTTTGAGGAATAAACAGCCCTAGGATTAGGCGCACCAGTTAAAAGGCTCACATTAAACTCGCCCGGTATATCGGCAAATCCTGGAAGTTTATACATGCCAGGTCCGCGCGAATAAAGAGCACCTTGAGGTGAATAAATGAGCTCTTCCAATACAAACAAGCCATAACCTTGCATGAATGCACCTTCAATTTGTCCAATATCGATAGCTGGATTCAAGCTGGAACCTATATCCATTACGATGTCTGTGCTCAACACTTGATGATCACCTGTTAAGCAATCAATTTCAACCGTTGATACACCAACACCATTCGTATAATAATTATAACAACGCGCATTTGGATTTGTCTTTGGGTCGTCGCCAACATCTAACATTTTATAGAATCCACTTGCTGAGAGACCTATTCGAGCGAAATATGCTTTACTGATCCAATCTTGCCACGTAGCTTTCGGATTGGCCTCCTTAATAGGATTCAGTCGCTGATTTATCTTCTCACAAGCATCCAATACAGCCATACCATTCAAATCTGAACCTACACTAGCTGCCGTTGGTGAAGTGTTTGGTACCTTATCGGTCGCGGTTTCAGCAATATGAATTAGCTCCGTTGGTATGCCTAATGCTCGCGCGCAACATTGTATCATTTTGGTGTGTAGACCCTGTCCGATCTCGACGCCACCATGCGATAGTAATACCGAACCATCGCCATATATATTTACCAGCGCTCCGGCTTGATTGAGATGCATTGCACCAAATGCAATACCATATTTGGTAGGCACCAGGGAGATACCGCGTTTGCGCCAGCGATGGCTTTTATTAAATTCTTCAATTTCTGCACGCTTCGCGTAGAATTTCGACTGATCTATGCAATCTCTGAAACATCTTTAATAAAAGTAAGAAATTAATTTCAATTATCAAATGTAAATACTACGAATGAGACTACTTACTTTTCAATAGGGAAGTTTTCCAACTTTTGATTATAGTGTGTGTAATCACCAGTTTTATAAAAATTCAACTGCATGACATCCAAGTAATCCTTGTCAACTATGCGCGCCACATCACGTACTATATGTTCCGCCGCAAACATGCCCTGAGGCCCACCAAATCCTCTAAACGCTGTGTTAGATGGTAAATTCGTTTTGCAGACCCAACCACCAACTTTAACATTTGGTATGCGATAACAATTCTCGAAATGATTCATAGCACGATCAAGAACCTAGAGAAAATATATAGTTGCTTTAGCAATGTAGTGAAATTGTAGTGGAGAACACTTACGCTAAATGAGAGATCCATTGAGCAGCCGGCATTAGTAAAGCACTCAATGTCGCATGCCGTTATTAGGCCTTCCTTGGTGAAACCAATTTTGTATTTGAAGAGAAATGGATGTCTAGTGCCCGTTGTCATCATATCTTCATCTCGATCAAGCATACAACGTACCGGTCTTCTTAGCCTATAACTGGCTAATGCAACTGGAAGTGCTACGATAATTGAACGCGACTCTTTACCGCCAAATCCGCCACCCAAGCGTTTAGATCGGCATACCACTCTATGCCATGGCACAGATAACACATGAGCAACTAGTTTTTGTATCTCCGTGGGATTTTGGGTCGAACAAAATAGTTCAATTTCATCACTATCTCGCGGCGTTGCCACACAAGCGTGCGTTTCCAAATAGAAATGTTCCTGACCACCCATCCGACAGCTACCTTCATAAAAGTGATTAGCCTCCTTAAAAGCTTTCTGTATATCACCCTTCTCAATATATTGTGGATAATTGGGAAAATAGGATTTATGTGCGATGGCCTGCTCAATTGTTACAATTATCGGGGTTAGCTCCTCGTACTTGATATGCACTAGACGCGCCGCACGTTGTGCTAAAACTTGACTATCCGCAACAATGGCACCGATTACTTGCCCCTGGCAATAAACTATTTCCGAAGCGAAGACTTCCTCATCGTGAAACACGGCACCAACTCTATTTTCGTGTTCACTCAAATCTTTGCTGGAAAAGAACGCGTGTACACCGTGCTGTTTCAGCGCTTCGGTAGCATCAATAGATATGATCTTTGCATGCGCTTTGGTACTAAGTACAAGCGCTAGATATAATTCATTTTCATGACGCGGAATATCATCGCAGTAAATTGCTTCACCCGTTGCCTGTATCAGCGCGGAGGTGTGTACCTTTGGTCTACCGATGGGATCACATGTTGATTGTTCGGCACATACCCTCTCAAAGAGCTGGGCACTCTGCAAAATCGGTGTATGGAAGGTATTAGCACCGCTCAGTTCTCTCACTGGTATTGCATCATCTTCAATAGTACCGGCTTTAATTAATTCTTGACTAATGGCCAAATATGCCTTGAAGAATAAACTAACTACCAGTGAACGACGATAGGCGATCATACCACCCGGTGCAGACGGTGCCAATGGCAATTCGGCACATAAGCTTTCAGTCACACGCTCAACTAATACCCGATTCCATTTCTGCTTTGCCATGATTTGTGATGTTTTCGGTGCCATGATCGTTATGGGTGCCATACCGCCGAAAGCCATATAAATTTGTTTGACTATATTGGCATTCGGTTCGAAGGTCACATTTATAACTGCATTCACGATTGCAATGTCATCATCTCTACGGCGCGCTTGCTTAAATGCCACAAAGTGTTGATCTTTTGAGCTCTTCGGAAAGTATATGCCTACCAAAACTTCATGTGGCAAAATTGTATTCTTGCGATATCCAGTAAAGAAGCCCGGACCCATGTGTACATCCCGAGTTTGTACTTTCCCATCAACTAAGCTGCACACTTTAAGCTTGGCGCATGCTGCAGTCAAAATGGGGTTCATGTCGGAAATTGGACTTCCAGTCATAATGTTTCCGCCGAGTGACGCCACGTTCCGTATCTGTTTGCCCGCGAAGTAGTGTAACATTTTTACAGCACAACGGAAGAAACGTGTTTCGTGCTCCGGCAATTTCTCTATACGTTCGCGTAAGTACTCATCAATGTCCATTAAGGTAACAGCAGAACCAAATAGAATGCTATCCTCTAAATCACATATCTCATTCAATTCCGGTACCTTTATGGGATTGATGTGTACGGTGTATAGGAACTGCTTAAATTTCATTTCAACACCAACTTCCGTATTGCCAACAATTATTTTGGCATGCGGGTGCTCCGATTTCAGCTTCAGTAAGTCTAATAGTTCCACCGGACGGTACCATGTCGATCGCGGTCCTTTGAATAAAAGATTTTCCGCATCATATTGCGAATTTAAATGCAGTTCTGGTGGAAAAATGGGTTCCTGACTGGAATCGAAGGGTAAAAATTCGCTTTTTTCAAATAACTTTTCGTTTTCGTTTTCATTTTCGCGATTTTGTCTTTTATTACCATTTAACTTGCAGCACTTATCACCCATGGCACAGCTAAATTCTTTCGTGAAAGTCTTATATCCTTCCAAAATAGGACGATAACCGGTACAACGGCATAGGTTGCCTTGAAACGCCACTTCCAAATCCTTCATTGATGGCAGAGGCATGCTTCGAAGTAGTGCGTACATAGACATTACTATGCCTGGTGTACAAAAGCCACATTGACTGCCATGGGCTTTAGCCAGACGCTCTTGTACGGGGTGGAGGCGGGTGCGTGTGCTACCGATCCCCTCTATGGTGGTTACTGCGCACCCATGCATCGCACATACTGGCATTAAACAGGCGTTAACAGCCAAGTGTTTGATGCTGTTGGTGGCGCGATCAACGCGCGAAAGCATAACCGTACAAGCGCCACAACCACCTTCGCCACATCCCAATTTCGTGCCACATAAACGCAGTTTGTCGCGCAGATATGTCAGTAGAGTGCATTCTGGATCTGGTGTCGCATCAACGACCTAAACAATGGACAATATATTATATTTTGGTGAAAAATTAAATTTACGATCTAAAATATTTGTCTGCCAAAGTGTGTGTCACAGATATCTACTTAATACCGATTAGGTTAGGTTAGGTTAATAGGTGGATCCAAAACAAAACGGATCCCACAAGCACAGCTGTAAACGCCGGTATATTGTGATACCTAAATAATCATCCTAATTATTGACAAAAATACTCTCAAAATTAGGCAAAGCGCTTTGTGCCTGCCGCAAATTTGTTGAGGCGGTTGATATCAATGCCGACTACTTCGCCAGGTTCGCCAAAGGTATAACTGTGGAGATGTTTCAACCACTAGTTAGTTGTTGTGCAACGCCTTTGTCGAATACAGTTCTAGTTATACTCTCACGACATGTTGCTACAGAGTATATTTCGTGTGTATATATATAATTATAAATAATCAGGATGACAAAACGAGGTGGGATCTGGGTGGCTGTCTGTCCGTACAAGTGATAATTTGAGTAAAAATTTAGAAATCTTGATAAAACTTGCTACATATGTTTTAGTGTACCCAAGGAAGATCGGTATTGTAGACGGACGTAATGGGACCACTGCCACGTCAAAAAACGCCATTTTACGAAAACTTATAAAGTATCATAACTAAGCACAAAGTTAAGATACAAAACTGTTATTTGGTACAAGCGAACGCAGGGTCGCTGTGTGCTAAAAATTGTTTAAAAGTGGGTGTGGCCCGCCTCCTGAATGGTTTAATGTATATATCTTCCAAACCGCTGAAGCTAAATCAATCAAACTTGCTGACAAGAAGTTATAATCAAAAAATCAGATAATAAAAACTCCCAAATATTCTTATCACACACGGTGAAAATGGACGAAATCGGATGACAACCACACCTACATCCCGTATAGAAAACTTCTAAATTGCATCTGATTCCTTCACTTTACAAATACAAATCAAACATCAATGAAGAATAAAACTTTGCACAAATAATGCCCTCAAGATATTTCAACTTACGCCCAAAACTGGCACCAAATATGTAGACTTCAGTCTGGTATTGAAATTCGGGGAGAATATATTGTTATAACAGGATGCACTTGGCCCAGAGATGGGTAAAATCGGGTCAACACATCCCTTAACTCCCATATACCTAATATAAATATTTTCCGGTTGGCTTTATGCCGCATCTGTTGGTCAATATGTAAGAAATCTCAATGAAATTCCGAAAGAATCTCTTTCTAATAACAGTGTATCCTCTTGTTTAAAATAGATGAAGTAAAAAACTACAATCTAGGAAGAAGCCAAAAGTGTTGGAGGGTGGAAAAAGCCTTGGCATCAGTGTTTTAGAAAAGAGGAGATTGCCTTTGAAGGCAGTTAATATGGTTAATAAACACGCCAATAGAGTTTTCTAAATTTCAGTGATAGTTGTTAGCGAAAATATATCTAAAATGATTTTTATCAACTTCAGATCAGATGTTTATAGGTAATGAAAGACCTCCAAAAAACAGCTTTACTTGCAAATTACATTAATAAAAATACGATGTTTATATAATTATTATTGAAACGTCAAGTGCCATTCAGATATTGACATTTTAATACCAATAACCTTTTACAATATGTTCATACAATATATACAAAGACGTTCATGATACATTAAGAAGTCATAAACAACCCTGTGAGAAAATCCCGATCAGTAACTAGCTGAGGTATAATTAACTAAAAGTAACACTACATAGGTATTTCTACCTTTACTTTCAATGTGAACATTTTCGCCTATAACGCATCTCTCTGGCTAAGCCGAATATCGTACTAAAACGATTATTTTCGAGGTAATCAATAAAGTATTTTCTTGGTTTATAGCAAAAGTAAAAAGGGGCACCAAAGTACTTAAGTACTTTCCTATAGGGGCTATACATATGTATGCATGTAGTATGTATGTACATATTTGTTATTTTTTGTGATTATAGGTCCATACATTTTAGACCTCAAGCTTATATATGTACGTATGTGTGTATGTATATATATTTATGATTCTACATATGTACATACTTATTTATATTTCACTGCTGCATAAAATGTCAGTCAATAAATCATGCTTATCACAAATGAAATACCCTACAGTTACGCAGAACAAAGTTTCTATTATTTTCTTAAGAGCCTTGTGCAAAAGCTGATGTAAAGTGTAAAAACTAGTTCAAAGATAACGACATCATAATACTACTACACTATAATTTGTAACGATATTATAATTGTGAGTTTTTTTTGTTTGTCGCAAGAACTATAACCTATTTTGAAAGGGGATTCTAAAAACAGATTTCTTTCGTTTCAAATATATCTCTTTGAAATCCATAGTTATTCGCCTCTCTTATAGGCTACGTGTAACACATAGCGAGCACCTTATACATTTCTTGCTTCTCGCTCTTTGCTCTACAATTTTGTCGTTACACATTCATTGACCTGTTCACTAGTATTTTTTAAGGTTTTAAGTATGAATAGACACACACCTTTTTGCCATTCACGAAAAATATTAACGGTGACTCCTTGTCAATTGGAATTTTTGTCGCGTCTCCATTTACCGCCATGATATGAGCAATTGAATTATTTTGCGACATTTTATTGTACTTATATCTTCTAAAATTTTTCCGAAATTCTTGAAGATGTTTTACTATACACTTATATACATATGTATACTTTCACTTCATAACACTCTTTAAGACTAATGTTTTCAGCTGCCGAAAAGTTTTTATTTATAAAGATAATTCTGTTAAAATGCAATTACGCGTAGTTTTTGAACTCTAAAATAATAGTAATATTTCACACACAACTAGCCAAGTGGACTGACAAAAGCGAACTGAATCCACAAGTGCTGTCTCTCCAGCATATGAGTTCAGTGGCAATATACGTGTATGTACATACGTATAGCCTCTGTATTAATTGAGACTAGCTCATGACTGGTTTGGAATAAGCATTTTGTAAATCAGTACTAGTTTGCGTGTGGCCCCTTTATTAGAAACAATAGTGTATTTTTTTTAATCAAAATGTTTTCTAAATAAGATTTCTTAATCGTACCCGAAGAACGGAAAGTATTTAACTCGAACCCTACCAAGGTGGTCAGTGTGCTCATTACACACTGTGTAATGTCTCCAAATAAATGCTTGCAAATAGCTTGTATTGTTTGGGGCGCCGTCGACGGCAACCTGAAACTATCAACTGTTTACAACGCTGAATAATTGCTATAGTGAGAAGAGCTCCAAATTGAAGATATCATTAAAAAATCAAGACCATGAAGACCATTTTCAAAAAATAAAATAAATTAATTTTACATTATACCAAAAATGTAATATGTATTTGTTAATGATTCAATCAAAGTCCGTTTTGAGATACTTAAAGACGACAAAAAACTGATAAATGAGTGTCAATCACTTGAACTCTCTCACCCAAAGTGTTCAAGATCAGTATACTTGTATAAGCCGCTGCAACTACTTGGTATGTTAATTCTAAGATTCAATTTGTGAATCTAATCACTATACCACTGTTCATTTATTACATACTCGTATTTATGTTTAAAAGTATTCACAAGCAGCAATGGTTCTACCTCGAACCGTTTTGAGTTACTTAAAAGGCAGTTAAAAAATAAAACCTTATTTATTTATTTGTTCTTGAAACAGCTGAGAAATATACCCAATCTCTTGATTTCTCGCCATCACTACTTAAAGTCTCTCAGCACAGCTTATCAACTACGATGAAAACAGTTTCTCTTCTTTTCTCATATAATAGAATGTCATGTTTTTTTTCATTTTGCTTCAATGTTTACAATTTTTACAGTATTTAAATTGCTATTATTTTATTTGATAGTAAATTATTTGCGTGCACACTCGTACATACATACATATTTATGTAAACAAGTGCAAACGTAGCTCAGTTTAATGAATAAACTCAAATACTGCCAAATGATAACCACATACATATATAAATACATACGTAGACGCATGCACGTAAAATGTTGATAATTTACTACCTCAATAGAATTCAGACAACAATAACAGTATTCGCGCCGCTTTCCTCAGATGCAAAGAAGCTCATTAATATTTGGCGAAGAACAAAAAGAGGAGGTTAGCAATTCAACTAGTGTGCTTTAGAATTCTCACACCCTTTTTTTAGTTTTATTAATCCATTAACGATAATTATTTATTATTAGATTTCGATCCAATGATGGTAGCTGTGGGAACCTCCATTTATTTACGATATATAAACATATCTATATACATACATACTTTATAAATCAATCATGCATCATAAACTTGAGATGGAAGTACCGCAATCTCAACAATAATTAGTATATAATCTCCGTAGCACTTTGCGAACGATAAAAAATTACAATAACTACAATTCGTTAAAGTTGCTTTGATCGGACGATTATAAAAATATAGATTATTATATTATTATAAGTAGCTACAATGTCAATTGGCATTTATACGAGAAATATAACTTTATCGCAATATACCATACATACATATACTTACATATGTATGTACAATATTAGTTCCGCTCCACAGTACTATATAAAATTAGAGTAAAATGTAATGGCTATTTTGCAAGCAGTAAATTGGGAATCTTTTCCGGAGATATAATTTCAAAAAAGTTATAATATAATATAATTATGTCCGCGTTAAAAAAATTTAAAAAAAAATTTGTTTATATTTTCCGTTGGAAATGGTTTTTAATTTAATTGCAATTATATTATCTTGACATTGATAGCAGGAAGCAACTGCCCGTGCGGGCATAGTTCGGCTTTTTTTTAGAGCCACCCGGCGATATCGAATACAGTGCGAGCACTTAACTTGGCCTCAAAAACGTAATAAGCAAAGTCGATGTTGGATCTAAAACAGTTTAAGCACTGGCAGCAGATATACATCCATTACCACGAGAAGGAATTAGCACAATGTTATTGTATTCGTAGGAAACCATAAAGCCCGTTTTATTTTCTTGTGCTGAAAAATATTGCATCGGATTTCACGGATTGTTTTGGAGCCTGACTTCTGTGACAGTTTCTGCGCTCTAAATGAAAAAATACTGTTTTTGGTACGAAATATATTTTTTTATTGAATATAATCTCCCTTAATTTCAATACACTTATTCCAATGATCCTCCAATAAATTTATGCCATCCATATAATGACTTTCCGGAAGCTCTGCAAATTACCCGTCCACGCCTGTAATAGCTTCTTCTTTTGACGAAAAACGTTTTCCAGGAAGGAATTGTTTTAGGTTTAGGTAGTAGTCGCTGTGAACCAAATGTGATGAATACGGTGGATGCTCAACAATTTGCGTAGTTTAATTTGTAGAATTTTGTCATTGTTAAAACACCTTTGTGAGCAGGTGCATTGTCTTGATGAAAAATAATCTTTTTGTTCACCAGCCCACAATTCAACGGTGCGTTTTGAAGATGAGGACTCCTTATACACTTCTAGCAATTGTTCTTTTGTGTTCTCACGACAGATGTACTAACTTGAGAAAAAAAAACATTTAGAGCTAGTAGTGCTATTTCTTGCTGAGAGCAGAAACTTTTTAACCATCCTGTAGTAGACAAATATTTCAACCGCGAATATATATTTTTTTGAAGAGCTTACAGTACTCCAAGGTTGAGCTCCATAAGTCCATATTGGTTCGAGGACTTACTTGAAAGAACTTTTTATAAGAAATTCTATATTATATTACATATTATTATATATTATATTTTTATATTTACACGCAATTATGCGTATACATTTATATATTTCGAGCTATACCATACCAGGAAACTTTTACTTTTGGAAATTAGTATACGAATTTCAAATTAGTATTTATTTTGTGTAAGCTACTGTAATAATTAATCAAATAAATAGTAATGCATACTATAGAAAATTTGAAAAGCTTAGCGGCATACTTACGAATAGCTTTAAGAGTAGCTTTTTATACGTTTTCCGTTATTTACGATACTCGCGTTAAATGAAATTTAAAATTTATAGCACTCATACGATATACATTCGTTCCTTAACGGAATATGTCAATAAACGATATCCCTTAATTACGGTAAAATCATATAATTTCCAGCGAAAATGGTCGAAATGTTAAGGGAAGCTATTCACATCCCGTAAAACCATTATAGTATTTACACAGAGAACAGATTATACGTTCTTTGGTTGGTATTTACATTGGAAGGAGAAATTTCGGTCAAAGCTTATACAATAAACTGACCCAAATTAAAAAAAAACGAGTAAGGAAGTTCTAAGTTCGGGTGTTACCGAACATTTTAAAAGTCAACTATAGGCATTGGAGTCCACATATTCAGTACCTAGGGGCTTGAACAGTTTTGGTTCGATTTAGACAATTTTTGGTCACAAGGTGGCACACTTTAAATGCATTATTCACGCAAACTTTTACCCCGATATAGTCATTGTTGCTTGATTGCATGGTGGAAAGTGAAAGAATCAGGTGGAATTTAAAATGGTGTTATATGGGAAATAGGCGTGGTTTTAAATAGATCTCGCCGATTTTCGCACTATAACATAGAAATATGAGAATAACATTATGTACCAAATTTGGTTGAAATCGGTGAAGCAGATCCCAAGATATGAGTTTTCACCTAAAAGTGGGCGGTGCCACACCCACTGTCTAATTTTGAACGCGGTTCCTATAAAGTCATTTCATAGCATCCCAGAGATAAAATTTAATGTCTCTGGTGTGTTTTGTGCTTGATTTATCGCACTTTTAGTAGTTTTTAACAGTTCCATTACATGGGGAGTGGGCGGGGTTGCCACCCGATTTCACCCATTCTACCCACGGACGGACAGACAGTCACCTGGATTTCAACTCGTCTCTTCATCCTGATCATTTATATATAAAGAACGCTATATCTAACTCAATTAGTTTTAGGTGATACAAACAACCGTTAGACGAACAAAACTATTATACTCTAGCAACAGGTTCCAAGAGTATAAAAATAATAACACCGTAACTTTGATATGTTAGCATATAAAAATGTACGAAATCGGGCAGATATTCGCGTAGGCTGAATAGCTCAACCGTGAAGTCGCTTAGTTCTTAGAACGATTCTTTATGACCATATTACTATCATAAGATGTTCACCGAATCGAATATTTTAGCTATCGAAGGAACAAACTGACCCAAATCACCATCTTAGAAATGTTGAATGGATCCGAAAGAATTTCCAGACACACAAAAGATTAATTTTTTCAATGTTATCGGCTGCAACAGGTATAAATGAACATGGCATCATATTTTTCGTCACCGAACTTTCACAATTAAATACCTGCGTTCTCGACAGAGAAAACACTCAAACTACTTTCGCAACTTTTGAAGTACCAATTCTATTGGTAAAACAGAATTTATAGTTAAGAATCTTTTTGTTAAACGAATTTGGTCATTTGGAGTGACTAATAAAAGTACTGCAAATATTCGACTGATTATAGATTATAGACAAAACATTTCTATATTAAAAACTACGGTTATCAAATAAAAGAAATCTTTTTTACCATTTAAAAATAAATTTGATGTATTTATTCTACAAAATAACTTGTTCATTGCTTATTTATAGGGTATTAGAGACATTTTGTGAGGTTAGAAACCTTTCTAAAGCTCATTTGAGTCAAAGATGTCGTTGCTATCCACAATTTGCTTCCTGAAGTCTTCATACGAGGGGGTGGCCTATTACATAAGTAAAAACAAATTAAGTAGACAAAAGTATATACAAAGTAAGTTGAATCAAAAAAATATTTATTTAAAAATATAAAAATTCAAAGTTAGTATTTAATTTTATATAATATAAAAAGTGAGAGGAATTTTTAAAGTATAAGAAAAATTTTAATCTAAATGTAAAAAATGATTATTTTGTGAGTTGCTCAGCTTGTTATAGAATTGTTAAGGTATTTAAGACAAGTACATATTTTTTTATGTATGTAGAAGTTTCGTATTTGTAACTATGAGCATACTAAAGTGAACGTTTGTTTTTGTTTTTGTATAGTATATCGAATAATGTGTGTTAATGTAGTTCAAAGAAAACAATTACTGAATTTAGGGAAAACAAACGCATTAACTGAAATATGATTCCTCAGGTACATTCAAGCTAATTTCTACCAACCTGCCAGTAATTGGCTTCCCAAGTGGGGAACAAGCGGGTGAAGGCCCGAGGTTCGTGACTCTGTTCAATGCGTATGACAGTGGTAGTATCGATTGTACGTTCTGTGGGCTCGTCTTTAATATATTTCTGCAATAAAAAAGAAAACATTTAAATAAACAGCATATAATACCAACATATGAACCCCTTTTAATTTAGTTCACAAACCTTCGCCAAATCGAGAATTCTGCCATTTTCCTCGGCTGTGGCACCAGTGCCGACCCACATATAGATTTCATCACCGGCATCCAATAGCATAATGTCATTTGTGTCGAGATCCTTTACATATAGTATAATAGAAATATTTATTTGTTAATAAAATCTAAGTTACAGATTATCTAGAAAACCCACAGCTTGCTCGAAGCGCGCAATTTCTTCCACCTTCAAACGTTCACCATTCAAACGGCAGTGAAATAGCCTTGGTTCCAACAGCGGCTTGGTGGCCTCACTCATGCTGCGATCGTATATGCCCTCTCCATGCAAAATCTCCCAAAAGTTATCGGGTTCAGCACCCTCCTCAACCACTTCGACAACAGCATCAGACCAGTACTTTGAAAATCGTTCGATGGCCATGTCTTTCTCGAATTTGCTAGCGGCCTGCATTTTTGCAAGATTTTAATTAAATATTCAATTATAAAAATTAAAGAAAAACTTTAATATTTACCAAGCCAACCCATATATAGATCTTGTGCGGGTTCATTGTTGTCAAAGCAAAAACATCAATTGAGGCTAGCGACGAAGAGTCTGCAACCACTTCGCTAGCGTGCACATCGCTGGCATCAGTGCCACGTATGCGATATAGTTGTGGATGGATTGGTACAGCAGTATAAGATGTGATCAATTTTCCCTTGAATAATTTGAGAAAATGTCGGGGTTCATTGTTCTGTGTGGTACGCACCAATATTGCATCGAGTTCAAGCGCTAAAGCCAAGCCATCCTCGAATGCACGTTCCTTTACAGCCTGTGTAGCTTTAACACCCTCCCACACGTATATAATCATGCCTGATTCCCTGTTCTTGTTATTGTACTTGTAGACAATTACATAGGCGGCGAATCCCAACAACGGCATTTTTGGTGTCAGTGAAATAACATTTCGTAATGTGTCTCCACGTCCGTAATTACTAACATATTGTACCGCTTCTACGATATCATTTTCACCACTATCAGGCATGAAGCCAATAGCACTACCACCGCTCTTTTTAAGTTTTTCAACATCGGTAAGTTCGCTCAATTCAAAATCGTCCGAGTCATAACCCATGGCAGAGCGTATCAAACGTGTATGTGCCATACCTGCATCGCGCCAAGTGGAGAAATATTGTTTGAATGGCGCAGATTCAGCGCCTTCGATCACACGATGTACCTGTGTCCAAGCGGGGTACTTTTTAGTGCTTAAAAATTCCTGTGCCTTGCTCAAGGCATCAGTCTTTTCCTTTGATGTCGAGCGACGGCCCACCCAAACGTAAATACCAGAACCAGTATCCAAAATAAAACAGTCGTTGGTGTCCAGCATTTCTTGACGCAAGGGCTTTGCGGAGATTGGATCGATTTTCAAACCACCACGTGCATCTGATACTTTATATAAGGACACAGAGTTTGCATCAGCCGTTTCAAAAGCGCCATCCTCTTGCTCAGCAGCCTCGTCCGGCACTTGGTTGCTCGCACCTGAGCCTAAAACTTCAAAAAAGTGCTGCTTGTCCAAATCCGAGCTGAACTCATCTTATAAATTACACAAAAGTATATATTTCATAATTAAATATTAAATTATTACCGCTAAATAGAAATGCTTACCAGTTATCTCAACCCTGGCACGACCATTGTGGTCTTGATCGCGAATTTGATTCGCCGCGCTAATCGCTTTCAACTTCTCCACGCGCTTCGCTTGAGGTCCGACATAAACGAGAATCTCATTGCCGGCATCTAAAATGAAGCAATCGCCTTTGTTCATCGACGACACAGACAGATTCACCTGACGGACACGCACGTTACGTTTGCCCTTCACCTGGAAGAGACGCTTCTCGCCGGCTGCATTAGTCTCCACATGCTTGAAGCCGGTTCCAACGCCACCTTGCTCATAACGCACACCTAAAGACGACGTAAGAGAATACAAATACATTTTTTAAGATCGGAAATGTGTGATGTATGATCATATAGGGACGGAAGTATTTATATATATAATATTATTGTACTCAGAGCTCATTAAATATGTGAATATTTCTAAATTGACTTAGTAGGTATTATCTTGTCGCAACTCTTTCGCGTTCCACCCCTTCTATACGTTTTGGAGTTAGTGCGGACACAATCATCGTATATTGGTAATAATTATATTACATACATACAAAAGTTCTGCAGTAAATCAACAAGCAACCACGGCGACCTATGTATTCAGTGCTTGCATCTATCCCTTGCATTTTTTGCATGTGAACATAGTTGTCTGTACTCACCGTTTCTGAAGTAACTGAGAAATAGTTGTGATTCGTGATCCTGAACTTCACGGTGCTGCACCGGAGTGCCATTAAGCTGGTCATCCAACTGCACAGCATAAATAGCGGCAGCGCCAGCTTCGTCGGTCGATGTTTCCGAACCCAACCAAAAATGAATATCCCAGGAGAGTTTCTTATCTTTGCGTTCGATTGTCTATCAAATGCAGAAAAAATGTCCAAAGTAAAATACCATAAATAAGAGGCAACCAATACAAAGAGAAAAAGAAAGATTGTAAAGAGGAGGGAAATATGCGAAAAGTTATGGGCATGCTTTGCAGCTTTAGCCACCCAATAAACGATAGGTGCCTAGAACTTTAATAATATTTTCAAAATCCTTCTTTTTGTGCTGATTATGAATGATATTCTAACATGAAAATGTCAACTTACGTTTAGTACAATAAACGAGTCTCCGGTAAAAAATTTGCCATAGTTATTTTTGGGGTAAACCACAGGTTCAAAGTTCTGAAAGGAAAAAAATATAATATTTAAATAGATATTTGGCTTAACCCCACTTAATTAGAGAAATATCTGTGTATTCTCAAACTGTGTTAGATCATTATAGGTTATGTTAGATTAATAGACTGTAAGTTATACAATACCCTAAACCACTAGATGCAATAACTAGACAGGTACTTGAACTTCGACTAAACAAAGTTAATGTATAATTATTTGTACGAGTATACAGCTAAGCTGTTTCGACATCGATCTCTTACAGAGAAGACCGAATCCAGCATTGAGATTCAAACGATCTCTTCGATATATTTACGGATTTTCATTTCCTTAAAGTTCAGAGCAAAAAACTTGACAGATTAAGATGCCTGCCTTGAAACTCAAAGGCACTTGGATCAATATTATTGAGGCAGTAGATCAATTCCTAAAAGAACTAAGTGCCTCCATTTTAACATGCATTCACTTATCGAAGAAGGTGTTATCGATTATGGCATTTGTTATTATATACTTTTATGAAATCCATAGGAATAGCCAGCATAGAGTTGTAGTCCCAATATTTGTACTTCGAAAATGATTAAGCCAACGATTCACTAACACAAAGTTAACTTTACAAACCTATTAAAGACTAGATATAAAGTGACTTTATTATACGAAATAAGCTAAGCGGGGATGTTTCGAAGTTTCAGAGGAAGGATCGGACATTCGAAGAATGTAAATCGTGGTAGGATAGTTGCTTTCTTCTAAATTTCTTTAGTTTCTTTGGCAGATGATCCAGATGAAGGTTCGTCCACCTTTAGCATATTTAATATTTGTAAGTTTTTCTGTAAAGACACAGTTATGTATACCAACACGTATAGCACATAAGACTTTTTTGATATTATCGCATGAATTTTTTCTCACTCAAGCGAAACGAATCCGTTTTCCGATCATGAACTTATTTCATCAGTAGGTACTTTCTTTGAAGAAATCTTGTTGCATTTCTGATTGATCTATTGCTGTTGTAGTTCGCTTATCAGCAAAATCCACAGACATTGCCTATGATACAAGAGCGTGTTGCGTGCTGCTGATATTTTGCATAAACAAATCACTTTTTTACATTTTTTAACAAACCGCGAAACACGCAACAAAACACAATACCGTAAAATATGAAAATCCGCACCGTTAAATGTTATATACATGCGCACATACATGCACACATACATTCATACAATATTAGCATTATTTTTAGATTGAAAACCCTTTAAGCCTCTGAGGATAACTCACCTCAATGCGCCATATCTCCAAACCAGGCGCTCGGCCAGCATTAGCGAACGCACGATGCATGACGTTACGGCTGGGGGCAAATTTGTCACTTTGCGCCGGGGGCTGTATCAGGGTCGACTGCGTGCGGAAGGCGGGAGCGCCGGGCAGCAGAATAAACACAGCCAAAATGCTGGAAAATATTATTTTACATATTATTGCAACAAAATGTGGCACGTATAATAAAGTCGTTTAAATTAACTACAGCACATTAACAAATATTTTAGTAAATTAATTTTTTAAAATAAATTTATAAAAAATAATTTTTTTTGTCACTTTGTTTCGGCTATAAATTTTTTTTCTTTCAATAATGTCGGAAAAGTGAGAAAAGTGAACTATGCGATTGAATTACCTGCAGATTACTGCCATCTTCGCTGCCATTTTTACAGCTCCTACCAGACGTAGCCTCAGCAACCGTTAAACCAGAGCTTGATTTGATTGATTTGATTTGTTTCGTTGTAGTTATATAAATGCTCTCTTTTCGGCACGCTCCACAATGCGATCACGCGATGCTCAATGAATTATTTTGTATTTAGCTGAAATGAGATGTAAATAATTGATTAATAAACATAGATAATTTTAGTGAACGAAATTATCTAAAGTATGCTGTTTTATCTATGAAACATATACATAAATGTTTCGGTAAATTATATTTGAATCCTGTTTCCATCAAAACATTAAATTATTAAAAATCCGCGTTAAAATCAAAAAAAAATTTCGGCGCCAAATAATTGTAACCAAAGGAGTATAGACTTGGATTTTTGTCCGGACAATAATTGTCACCGTGGCAGTTTTCTGTATAACGGTATAACGATAACAACAGTACTTTCGAGACCCCTAAACCGAATAAGACCTACCATTTTGACACCTCCTACTCTAGCCAACTCAGATAAATGCGTCCAAATATAATATAAGGACTATAAAGTAGTGCTCTTTTAAGAAATAGGTCCTTGTGGAACGTTGTCTACAATAGTCGGTACCATGGAACTACTTGGTCTTTTTACGAAATTGGTTTTTTCTTGGTAGAATGCCAATTGGTGTTTAGGTTTCTCCCTAATAACTCCATCTGATATAGTAAAGAGTTTAAGGGGTTATATCCACTTGTAAAGTTCAAAAAAATCTGTTTTTTATGTATATATAATAGAAAATATTCTCCGAATGTTTTAGGTTGATCGGACATATAGTTTCGCGGTTTTGAGCGTAAAATATTTGTAAATTAATTATAAATTTGTGTAATCGGCCATCAAAATTTTAAACACATTTTCCTCGAAACGTTGTTTTCAGAGTCGATAAGGAAAATTTCTGCGAAGCGGCTGGACCGATCGACTTTTCACATATATATTATATTTGTCAGGTAATAATCGAATAATTAAGATTTTTGTTAATAATTACGATTTTTTAAGTCACTCAGAAGTATCCATTTCACAAATCATGACTTATTTCTTTGGAAACCACCATTTTGTTGGAAATTAAAATTTTAACTTGTACTTCGATCATTACCAGTATTCATCTATTTTAATATAAAATTTTTTTAGTTTGGATTTGAAATAATTTAAAGCGTCTCTTCTTCACCGCCAGACACAGTTTTTCAGAGGTCCTTCTGAAGATCGGTTACGGGATCAAAGGAAACCAAAATTAATCAAAATAAATCGCAGATTATAAAAGTGCATTCAATTCTGTAAATGTATTATTTATTGAATGAAATGTCTCTTAAAAAATCATCAAAAAGAGTTTTATCTGAGATCATGATCAAATTGTAGGGGCAGAGTCACTTGTTAACGACGAGAGTTCTAAAGTTACCTAACAGGCATTATTTCTCCTTTCTTCATATATAACAGAATTCATTTAAAGAAGTGCGATATTTTTCCACACTTTTTTATGCATCGTTTTTGTTTATTTTGCCATGGACTTTTCTTTACTCATTTTTATTTGTATGTGTCATACGAAAAATGCGAAAAAAAAAAATTATTTGTTTAAATAACATTATTTTTTCTGTTAATATTGCAATTCCTGCTTTTAACTTATAAAACTTTTTCTCAAATTTATTTTTCGTCGAATGACATCACTTATCGCAAAGATTAAACTCATTTTTGTGTATTTTCTTAAAAAAATGGCATTCTCATAATCTTTTTGTTTGTTGAGAATATGTTGTAGGTACATACATATGTATGTATGATTATATGTATGCATCCCATAGGTCTATAAGGTATTCCGTACTAACACAGCGAGGTTATGAAATACGTGCAAATTTCGTCTAATTGATTTCAATTTTTTTAACTGTGCTCTAAACTAATTTTTCTATTTTTTCTGCTGCCTATTTATTCCTCCGCCTTTGTAATTAAAAAAAAGCCTAGCGCTAAACAAAAAAATAAGCCATAAACACATAAATTATTTAGCAGTTAAAAACTTGAAACAAGGCTTGGTGATACCTTGTAACTACTGCGCCGTGAGCTTGTCAATCATCTTTAAGAAACAAAAGAGCATACATTCATACATACGAGGTGTGTTCAAAGGAAAAGGTAAATTTGGTTTTTCGCGGTTCACTAAATAGTCATAAAAACTTTTGTCTTGTCTTAGTTGTTAAATATGCTGCCATTTTTAGGAAATACTTCAAATGAATATGTGTTATAAAGTTTGGTAAATATCTCATTTTGATAGTGCATTCGATTATCGATATTTTGTTTTTGTTATAATCGGACACATATGTATATCTTGTGCATGCATTAGGAGCCAATTTCGATTAGTAGTTTGTTTTTGACAACAGAAAAGATTAGTTTTGTGTACTCTTCGATTTTTGACTTTTGAAAGAAATGGATCAAAGAATATTATATTTTCCGTTGAAAATGGAATAAAGTGCTCCAAGGTAGAGGATGTTGGCATATCTATCAGCGAAGTTTGTTCCGAAGTTGCTAAATTTTGAGCAAAAGCAATGTCGCATTAGTATCGCTCAGGAGTTGTTGAATGACATCAACAACGATCCGCGTTTACTTAAACGGGTTATAACCGGTGACGAAACGTGGGTATATGGTTATGATGTCGAAACCAAGGTCCAATCCAAGATGCCCGAAGAGCCAAGACCGAAAAAGGCACGCCAAGTTCGATCATGTGTGACGGTTGTGTTCCCTGTTTTGTTTGCTTACAATGGTGTGATGCATCATGAGTTCCTGCCAAAAGGTCGTACATTTAATAAGTAATACTACAAGGAAGTTATGCTTATTCGTGATTTTTTGGCCAAAAACAAAATCGTAATCATGCCTCAACCACCGCATTCACCAGATTCGGCTCCCTGCGACTTTTTCCTATACCCAAAACTGAAGAAACCAATGAAAGAAAGCTTTTTGCCACGCTTGATGAGATCAAGACAGAATCGAAGAAAGAACTGATGGTCATAACGAAAAGCGCATTTTAGAAGTGCTTCGAGGATTGGAAAAAGCGTTAGCACAAGTGTATTATATCCGAGGGTGATTACTTTAAAGGGGACAAAATAGATATTGATGAATGAATAAGTACTTTTCAAAAAAATTCAAAATTCACCTTTTTCTTTGAACGTACCTCGTACATACATACATAAAATAGATATATCATTGGAAAAATCAGAAACTGAAAGAAAGGGAGCTTGTCAAAATTTGTTGCCGCATAACGAGAGTCATAAGCAAAGCTTAATGATTTGAATGTTCATGTTTTTATTTTATATGAAACCGATGTCAACGAATACCGCAAAGTATTTACTACGAACTTGGCACTGACACTGTCCTCCAATGTACGTACGCGTTCATACACATATTAGGTCATGCCAGTAGTCATATGTAAAGCGCTGTTGTTTTACAATTTCTTGCCGGCGATTCAAAGTAATAAAATACACGTAAAATAAATACATATTGTATAATACTCATTACATATGTGAATGTAATCATGCCACTGTAAGTGCTTACATATGTACCTACGTTATTTTAATATATATAATATGCATATATATGTATAATTAAAAATTTCAAAATATTTTATACATATGTATGTATAAAAAGTACAAGCTTATATTCCAAAGCAAAATAGAGCAATGTATACATGCATGTATAATTCATTTCAATCAAAGTAAAATAATAAATATTTAAATTCCAGGATCACGACCCTAAGATTATTTTCAAGTTAGCCCGCGATAAGTCAAATTCTAGAAAAGTATTGCCTTTGATACGTCAATAATTTAAAAAACAAGACTGACTCCTAAACAGCCTTAATAAAATATAATATTGAAATAAATACTAAAACACTACTTCGTTTTTCTGAGTGAAATATCAATATTGCGAATATAAAGCACAGATATAAAGAGTTAAAGTTCCATTTACCGTAAGCATGATTTGAAGAGCAAAACTACATTTTTATCTAAACCACCAATAAGAGTAGATTTTCGCTATTTAGCATTAAAAGTTATGAGTATTGTCCAAAGTATAAACATATAAGCTATAAACATGCAAATACTTTCACCGCACAGAGAAAGAAATGCACAATAAGACTATTTCTCCGTTTTATAGCAAAAAAAAAGAGATTTTGTATGTGCCTACGTGTGATTTATATTTATGTACATACAATAATATTTATTTATTTATTTACTTTTAAATTTAACAGCATAGTATAATTAAAATTCATACAAAAATGTTTTAATGATACTTCTCTACATCGAAGTAAATCAATTTCACTTTCATCAGCTATGAATCACAATACAATTGTACTTACAATTATTACCAAGAATTCTAAATTGATATTGCCTTTTTTATTATTTTTCAAGCTTCAAATTGAAGTGAAATTAAAAAATTTATGTGCGCAAGTAAAGCCAATTACTGTCACTCAAGCAGGAAACCACATAAAATTTACCGTTTGGCATTTTCTGTTGCTGAATGACTTATTCTATAGATATTTGAAAACAGTTGAAAGTTGTCTCAATTAAATCTCCACTGTGTTATTTTTATTCTAAATTTATTTTCCTCCTTATTTCACCTTCACTGCGTACTTGTTGTCCCGATATTTCAAAAAACCACATACATATTTAACGGTGCATATTACATATTTATATTACAATCAATTAAAATTTTAAATAAGCTCAAATCGAACAAAAGTCTTTCTAAGCGTTCCAAGTGTTCGGCATAATAACTTCCAAAGAAAATTGTTCAATTTGCGCCAGAATTATAAATTGCTCGCACCTTCAATGGTATGGACTTGGCTACTTATTTTTAACGTTATACGTTTGAGCTAACAAGTGATGGTCTGTATCAATCAACAAAAGATCATTTACTTAGCTAAATGCGCAAAACAATTATATATTTTTTTTTTTAAAGACGGGTTCAATTACTCTACACTATTGTATGCGGAACATACCAAGATACGCAAATCTTCAAATTCTATATAGCGTTGCAGATATATTCTAACATATTCGTATTCGTTTAATTTATTCGCATATATCATTTGTTTATATATATGTGTATAGTATGTACGTACGTATATGCACGTTATGATAGGCACTAACAAATTTCTTCCGGGCATAATTAGCGTACATAAATAATACTCAATAATATATGATAAAACTTGTTTAAATCACAATGCAACACACAAATATATATGTATGTACCTTTTTCCACGTATAGTTCCCACAAAGCACTCGCGATTTTTCGTCTACTTTAAAATCGTGTTATTTTTCTTTGGTATTAAAAACAATTGACTTTTACCTCCGGCGGATAACGATGTACTGAATTGTTTATAAACTCTGTAGCTGTTTATATTCAATTTTTCAATTCGCTTGTATTGAACCTATGCTCTCTCTCTTGCTCAAATGGAATCTCTTTACGCGGAGAACTTTCAGCACTATAGATCATCTGTGGTTTAAGCGAGACTTAGTGGTGATAACAAAAAGTCAGCTTTCTACTACAAAAGACGCTTATCAATTAAGCTGCGATGATTTATAATTTCTGAGAACCGGTAACATATGCATACTATGTATATAACTGAATACTGCTACCGATTTGTATGCACTTACATTTATTTAATAAAATATTGTATTTATTTCTGTAACTTCTTTCGCTACCGCTAGACCGTAAACCAATCATGATTTGTTGACAAACAAAGACGTTTTCTAAGAAATGTTTTTAATTCACACAGCTTTCTTATCAATTATTTCAATTGGACACCGGAATGTCCCACACCTACAAGGGATATTTGTACAGTAAAGGAATTTCCACCCATATATTGTTCATTAGCCATCTGCCAATATATTTATAAGTACAATTTACATACAATATATTTATATAAAAAATTTAATGATCGCAGCTGTATACACAAGTTAACATCCATAAAAGCATACAGTTCTGTTCAGTTCGAAACTGAGCAATTGTGTGGAACTTAATAATCCGCTGCAGTATTTGATAAATAATCCCTGCGTCCAATATTTGAAGCTTGTTTGCTTTGTACAGCTTCTAGTTTTGGACATTCAGTGATACGATGACCCAAACCACCACAATAACTACAACCATGTGAATCGCCAAGATCCAAGTAGTTTTCTGCCTCTGGGCACAGCTCATTGAGAAATTCGGGTACTTTTTGTTTAGCTTCGATTAATAAATGTTTTAAATCCAATAACACAGATTGCTCGGCTGTTTTATTGATAAACGTAGTGGCAAGTCCTTTCGTATTCGAACGTCCTGTACGACCAATACGATGCACATAGTTTTCCACATCGTCAGGCATATCATAGTTGATGACATGTTGCACATTCGGAAAATCCAAACCTTTTGAGGCGACATCGGTAGCAACTAGCACGTCCTTTTTACCCTCGCGATATGCTTCGACTGCACGTGAACGTTCTTCTTGATCTTTACCACCATGAATTGCTACCGCTTCAACACCTAAAAATACCGATTTTTTTCACTTATCGTTATACCTACATATAGCATAAAATAACTGAAAATTACCTTTGAGTAGCAGATATTCATGTATGCAATCGACATCCTGTTTCTTCTCAGCGAATATAAGCACTGGAGGTGCAGTTTTCTGCAGACAATCCAAAAGATGTACCACTTTCGCCTCTTGCTTAACATACTCCACTTCCTGTGTCACATTCATCGAGGCCGCACCGGCACGTCCCACATTGATAGTTACCGGTTTTACCAAAGCAGAGCGGGCGAAATTTTGTATTTTCTTTGGCATAGTAGCGGAGAAGAGTAATGTTTGTCGCTGTCCGCGGAAGAATGAAAATATTGTGCGTACGTCTTCTTCGAAACCCATATCTATCATACGATCAGCCTCATCCATACATAAATAACGGCATATATCTAACGTGGCCATTTTCTTTTCCAACATGTCCATTAGACGACCTGGTGTCGCAACCATGATGTGCACTCCTCTCTGTATAACTTCCATGGCGCTTGAAACTGGCAACCCGCCAATCGCCAAGCAAGCACGTATTTCTGGCATACCACATTGTTGCAAGTGTTTGCTATAATGCTGCGAAATTAATTTAAATTCTAATTAGTATTAATTTCCTTAATGACAATCGAATATACTTACCAAAATAATATCGAATGTTTGTTTAGCCAATTCACGAGAGGGACAAATTATAAGTCCATAAGGACCTTCATTTCTTTCGAAAGGCAATCGATATTCTTGCTCTAGTGCAAACATTATAATAGGTAATACAAAAACTAACGTCTTTCCTGAGCCAGTAAAGGCGATACCTATTAAATCCCGACCAGAAAGTACCGCCGGTATACCTTGAATTTGAATTGGTGTCGGCTTTTTAATGCCCTTTGCGGACAGACCATTTAGTATGCCTTTGGGAAATTTCATTTCACGAAAACTGCGTATAGGTGGTGCTACATCATCACCTTCTACGAGTATTCTTAAGCGTTTGCGTATTGCGTTGCGCCGCTCGTCTGTCATAACCGCCAGATAACGTGGTGGACGCCAACTGGTTTTAATAGGGTCTTCATATTGAATGCCCTTGGCCAATTCAGCAACACCCATTAAAGCTTTCTGTTGGGTCACACTTTCCAAAATCTTCTCCTCTTCTTTAAGCTGTTTCTCCACAGCGCTTATTTTCTTTGCTTCAGCGATTTTTTTTAATTCCGTATGTTGGTCCAACAAACTGATGTTGTACTTGCGCCCCCATAACTCAGCTTCATTAGCTCCTTGAGACTCTTCATCACCTTCATTTTCACTGGAGGATTTTGGTTGTGCTGATGCTTCTGAAGCCAGCTGTACAATTCTTCCCAGTTTCATTAACTGCTGTTTTTTACGCTCCTTAACAGGAACATAAGGTACATAACCATCGTCTTCTTCATTATCTGAATTTTTTTCATTGTCCTCCCGACGATATCGTTTAGGTTGTGGAACTTCTGTCATTCCTTCAACTTGTTTACAAATTTTATATCGTATATGTTTAGTGTGAGGAAATGTTTTTAGATTTTATATTTTCGCGAAATTCGCGTCTTCACGTTGACAACTATGAACTGTGGTGCCATATATAATTTATTTGTTAGGGATACCATGTGATAAAATGAGAACTATTGACATACCGACAAAAATATTTTTCGTTACTTTTCTGTTTTTTTGCCGTTCGGAATTTTTAAATGCACACGGTTTCTAAAAAATATAGTGAAGGGAAAAACGACACTAAAGCTCGCGCGGAGCTGCCAGTCGACTTTGTCGGCGCATCTCGAAAATAATTGAAATTTCAAAAAATCATTTTAGGGCCATATTTTTAAAGGGTTATACTACAATAATATAACAAGCCAAAAAATAGTCATAATAGTTGTGAAGTGATAATCATATCATGCAATATATGTTGTGATAAAAATCTTGACGAATCTTGCCACTTTCAAGCGATTATCCACCCTAAATATAAAACTATTTCAGAAAATCTGGCAACATTGAAATCATGTGGTATGACATTTCATTTTACCCAGTATTTAATAAATTTTGCCATTTGCTTTGTGCATCGAGTTGATAAAATTTTTTCCAAGGTATAAATGCGTTTCTTTTTTCAGTGAAATATATATTAATTGCTCTTATCTCCGTGATTATACTTCGAAAAATATTCATTCAAAATGGCTATGTCAAAAACAACAAATACCTACAACAGGCAAAATTGGGAAGATGCTGAATTTCCAATTCTGTGTCAGACTTGTCTTGGCGACAATCCCTATGTGCGTATGATAAAAGAACGTTTTGGTAAGGAATGCAAAATTTGTACCCGCCCATTTACTATATTTCGATGGTGCCCTGGAGCGCGTATGCGTTTTAAGAAAACAGAAATTTGTCAGACCTGCGCTCGTCTGAAAAATGTATGCCAGACGTGCCTGCTGGACTTGGAGTACGGACTGCCGATACAAGTTCGTGATGCTGCACTTAAAGTGGCCGACACGATTCCTCAGAGTGATGTGAATAAGGAATACTATATACAGAATATCGATCGCGATTTAGCCGACGGTGACGGTACTGAGGCAGCGGGTGCGGTTGGTCGTTCATTGGCCGCTAACGAGATGTTGGCAAAACTTGCACGCACAGCTCCATATTATAAGCGCAATAGACCACATATTTGCTCATTCTGGGTCAAAGGTGAGTGCAAACGTGGCGAAGAGTGTCCATATCGTCATGACAAGCCAAACGAGCCCGATGATCCCCTTTGTGAGCAGAATATAAAGGATCGTTATTATGGGCGTAACGATCCGGTTGCTGAAAAAATTATGAAACGGGCAGCTACTTTGCCCACGCTGGAACCACCAGAAGATCGAAATATCACCACTTTATATGTGGGTAATTTGCCCGAAGAAATAACAGAACCAGAGTTGCGTGACCACTTTTATCAGTATGGCGAGATTCGATCTATTGCCTTAGTTCCACGCCAACAATGTGCATTTGTTCAGTATACAAAGCGTGGAGCAGCGGAACTAGCAGCAGAACGTACTTTTAACAAATTAGTGTTGCACGGACGTAAATCAACGATCAAGTGGGCGCATTCCCAAGCAAAACAGAGTGGTTTAGCAAAAACAGATAGACGTTTTGATGTTCCTGCTGTGCCGCCTACTCCTGTGGCTAATCCAAATGATTTCTTCAATCTTCAACAAGAACAGGTCACCGTGCTACCTCCTGGTATGAAGCTACATCAAATACCACCAAGCCTTATACCTGCGTCGTCGTATCAAATGTATTCACAGGCATATGCAGCGCCATACTCGAATATTCCAATCCCATCTACCTCCGGGGCGGGTTTGGACGCTATTCCTTCACCACCAACGGGTGGCGCACCAGGACAAGTGCACTATCCTAGTCAGGATCCAAGTCGATTGGGTGCAGTGAAAAAGTAACAGTAATAACTTTAATACAATTTGCTTTGTATGCATATTCGTTTAGAAAATTTTGAATAAAAAATAATAATTTCAGTAATTCCTCACTTTTATTAAAAAACTACTTATATGTACATATATTTATACTTAGTTCGGAGGGTGCAGGGCAACCAACTACAACTTCTTAAATCTTTACATGTCTAAATCTAATTTTTCAGTGTGCTCTGGGTAGAAGCGAGCTTTTGCCTCTGGCACTTGTACAAAATACTTATCAATATAGCTGGGGTTCTTTTTCAATAAAATCTCATTTAGAATTTGTTCGTTGGTAATAGTCTTTTTAGATATAACCAGACGACGTTCTTCATCTTTTCCATGGCTTGTTGACTTTAAATTAAATTTTCCAGCGATTCTAAAACGAAAAAATATATGGTGGTATAAAAAAGTACATCGTTTTGAAGGAAAAGTAGCTGCATGTCGTACTCGTGTAGCATTGCACGTTCTTCTTTAGTAAAAGATGGCTCAAACTGCAGTTCACGTATGTCTTCGGAATCAAGATAATTCTTCAATATCTGTCTGAAATAATTGCGATCTAGTTTACAAGATTCGTTACCGAGACCAGCGCGATTATTTTTTAACAAGTATCCCACTGGTTCTTCACGACCTTGTGTCTTTGAGCCTAAACCACCACCAGTCCACCCCATTAGCTTCATCATTTTATAGCCTTTATTAGACGCATCCAATTTTTTATCTTCTGCATTATCAGCTTGTTGTTTGACTACTCCACAAACGATCTCATTATTGGATTTGTTTATTTTTATTGTATCACGCAGCGGATTTGGCTAAAATGAGTGCATTTCGGTTATAATGACGATATAATATTAGGCAGAATGTTACCTTTATTGAATAACATTTATTTTGCAGCACATCTAAAGAGTCGTTAAAAACCTGTGTCTTGGTTGCTTTTAGGGTTTCTTCGCATGCATCACTTACTAACTTTCCGTTCAAGAACACATTAATTTTTCTAAAGAACAATATTTGTCAGGTTATATAAAGTTTAAAACTAAGCAATTCACAACATACTTTCTGTTATTTGGGCCTTCAACTTCTTTTTCTTCATATTCCATATTACATCGTTGTGCAGACATACGCAAGCAATTTCGCCCACCCATTAGATATAATACAAATTTACCAAACGGTAGTCCTTCAAAGAGATTATTACTCTTATGCATTCCAGATATTTTGCTGTTATCATAATTATTTCGATTGTTAAGATTTTGTTGATGTCCCGAATGTCCACCCGACCTAGCTGCAATTGTTCATGGAAAAGGGTATACAAAGAAAATAATATTTTATTGGACTATATTCTAGACAGCAAGTACTCACATAAATTCTTAAGACTAAAGCGATATTTAGAGTTTGTAGTTGTTTTTTATCGTCTACCTTTGACGCGTGCCTCAGCTGCTTCTGAAGCTGCTACAAAAGTACGCTTAAGCCGCGATTCTCGACTTTTCCTATAATCTTTTACAACTTCCTTCGACAACTCGGCCACCAGTTGCATGGTCTCAGGTGGATATCGGCAACCCATGAACTCCATATTCGTAAACACTGCAGCAAGGCAAACAAGGCGATCTTCCGGGAATTTATCCTTATGCAGCTCCATGAAGTGGCGTCTCATTTGCCAATGCTCCTCACTTTCATGATCAGCACGGTAGTAGTCAATATCCCAGTCCGTGGGGAATTCTTCATTGTTTTTACTTTTCTTTGATGTACTCGCCATAGAGTATTAGTTTAAATTTACAATTTGTATCTTTTGGTTAGAGAAATTAAAATGCGGCACGATAGAAATAGATGTAAAGAGAATATGAAAAAACAGAGAACGTAAATTACAAAATACGTGCTCTGGAAAAAAGCACATGAAGCATTTTGGCTGTGTTCACTGTACGTGAGCGCTCGGCTCTTCATTATTCACCGAATGCTATAACAGTCTCCGACGTTACGCACTTTCGTACTTACCGCCCGTATTAAACAAAATTTGTCAATAATTATGCCTGTAGTAGCAACGTAGAAATTAATAGTTCTCTTTTGTTTTCATTTCACCAATGTTGTCATTGCTCAATTTGTATAGATGATTTTGTACACATTTAGCTTTTGGGTTATAATTGGGTTATTCAAGCTTATATTTTAAATCCTACACAATATCGAGACTGGCAACCTTACGTTGTAAAAGAGCTCGTGAGAGCATTCACCTAACTCATTTCTGCAGAAAAAATTTAATTTTCGCGGATATCACTAACTAACTAACGGTCGTTAGATAGGTCGTATCAGCTGATTCGATCTACGGTTTTGCCGTTCCCACGACAGTCGGGTTTACGTAACCGGAACGGATCCGGATTTATTCCGGCCAAGGACTGTCAACTCGGCAGAACTCTGCCGCTACAACAACAACATCTACGGTTTTGCGTCGGTGTCTGTTTCCAGCACAAAAGTATTGAAAAGAACGTCCCACTTTATCATAAACCGAATAAATGCAGAGAAAGGAATATTATATCTCTGCTATAAACCCAAGCAATTATATGAAGCGCAGCAACCCTGCGCAGAGAACGTATATCATATACGTTCTCTGCCCTGCGGCCGAACTGCGAACCGAAAAGGAAATATGTAAACATTTTTGACAGATCAATATCACAAAAAAACTAAATAATCCAAAAGTTATAAGTGCTTTTGTTTATCAAGGCAGTTATAAAATAAATGATGTGTTAAAAAACATGTATAATTTGAAACGCAATTCTAATGAGGTACTAAGCATATGTTCGTGATTTATAAATCACTACAAATAAATAACTTTAACATTAACATGGATACTACTGTTTTTGTAAATACTGAAAACTTCATCCAGCCCCAAAAGCCATTAGTGGCTCATCAGGTATGATATAATAATAATGGCATATTTATTGATGTAAAAATTTATTAGGTATATAATTTCTTTACAGATGTATGTGACAGAGATTCCGGACATGATTGTCGTAGAAACAAGGTTTATAACACGTCAAATGGCAGAACTGGAGGAAATGTTATTGCCACAAACATTGGTACTCTCTTCCGAAAACTTTAATATACAGGAAAAAACTCAAAACGGAACTTTTCATATATTTCATAAAACCAAAGAAGCAGGTGTTATGGTAGAAGTCGATATTGCTCATAAGTCTGTTCAGACTGATAGTCGTAATCCACTACGAAATCGTGAACAGCAGACCGTTAAGTTCTTTACCCAACAAGATATAGGCATCCAATGTGATATTGAAAATGACATAAGCAGTGAAATATTGCTTATGGATAGTAACCCACTGGAGGAATGCGATAGCAATGAATATCATTTATTTTTAGATTTTGTGGGAAAAAATACCTATCTTTACAGGAATAACAAAAAAGAATGCATAGTGTGTGGTGAAATTTGTTCTAATTCAAAACAAACACTATCACATATGGCGACGCATTGGGGTTCGCCGGTGCTTTGTGAACTTTGCGGCCAAAAGATTGAACATGCAAATCTTTTAATAATGCATCAGTGTAACAAGGCTACCAAGAAAACTATGAAGCGATTTTTTGAACAATGTCCATTATATTCATGTGGAGTAATTATTAAATCAAAAACTGATTTATATGATCATATTAACGAGCACTTAGGTTTGCCTACCTACTGGTGTTTTTGCTGTAAGCAGAAGTTTAGAACATTAAAGAAGCTGCGACATCATTCTATAGTACAAAAAACGTGCTTGCCAAAGTTCTGGCGTTTGCCTATGCTACAAAATTTAAGTCAAACAAAAAATGGTAAACTTCGCCGAAAACGTATTTCAAGAATTAGAAATAGACAACCTTTTCGAATGTATTTTAGAAAAAATTTACGCTGTCAAATTTGTTTACTTAAATGTCTAAATACTTCTTTATTTGCAAAACATCATAAAAGATGTATAAAAAAATTTAGGGAAAGGTTAGAAAAGCTGAAATAGATAAGTGGTGACAAGGAGTTCCAGCGGATGGAAATAAACTAGTCATCAACCAGCTATGGTATTTAATTCCAATTAATTTATAGATAGTAATAGGTATTTATTAAATAAAATGAAGAATTACGCTTTATATGTAACTTTAACGATTTTTTCTATTTTTATTTGTTTCTGATAAAATTTTAATCGACTATAACAAATGTACAATCTTCATAGCCCGAAAAAAATATATTTTACAACTAGGCCACGCCATGTGCTTTGCTTATACCTTCAAACAGCTGGCGTTTCTCACCATTGATTTCCTTAATGGTTTGTGTTGCTAATTCTAACTGAACTTTTTTAAGAGCATGTTTACTAATGTAATCTTCTATGAAGGGTAAGCAGAGATCATCTAATTCAAAATCAACTTGTGTTTTGCCAATAGTCGATTGTATATCCTCTTTTACATCTTTCGATGCACGTTTTAGTTCCTTCTCAAGCTCTTTCAACGCCAAATCTTCTTTAGGCTTAATTTCATCAATTTGTTTTAAAAGATCTTTGTAATTCGGTTCCATATCGTGTAATTTATATAAGAGTGCTATGAGTTCGGCTGCATTTTGTAGATAATCCCGTCTCACCATATCGTAAAGTAAATCGTCAATGCAACGATGCCAAGCAAAGAAGAATGTCATTGGCCCAAAATGTCTCGTAGAACGTAACACATCAAATTGTTTGGTTTCGTTGATGTGTTGATATACGCGACTGCTAATGTAATGGAATTTGGGCTCGAAGGGATCAAATTGCACTACCATACGATTCAATATAAATAAATATTTTTGTTCATCCAAACATCGCTGTAAATGCTCATCTTCAAACATGCGTGGCATACGAATGCTACGCCCAGTAAGTGGAAAATATAATTGATGCATTCGCTTAGTTATCTCCATTGGTGCGTGCTCTAGCGTACCGTCGGTTTGACGTACAACAACTTTTCGTTCTGTCTGTCGTAAACCGTATGTTATGTCTGTTATAACATATTTTGTGTCCGAGAAACCGCTTAACGCACCATCGTTAGATATGATTCGCCGTTCATCTTTCTTCATTTGTACGACAGGGGGCATTTGCAAAAGTTTTTTGGCACGTTCAATACTCTTACGAAACTCTTCTTCTAGCATGTCAATAGTCATGAGTTTGTAGTCCACGGAGTTGTCTGACACAGTTGTCTTCTGATAAATTTTATCTAGATGTAATTGTGTCATGGATTGCAGTAGCTTTTGTGTTTCCGGGTCGGTGAATTGTGGTTGTGGATCTCGATCATAGAGTAGAGTTGAAGAGGCTGTGCCCGTATTGCTTGTGGAAGAGGCAGCTCGTTGTAAAGCATGAAAGCTTGTCCGTAGGTTAGCATGATTATATATTTGACGCAGGAACATTATTGTATATATTTTATTTTAGAAATGTAATTCACTTTTTTGATAGAAGTATGAAGAAACGAGTTCCGGTAAATTATTAGAAACAAACAGCTGTTTAACTAATTACATGCAACTGATTACAGGTTAAGGATGTAAAAGTTATATCGACTTAATAAAAACTATTCGATGATCAAGTCGAACTTAACGATATTTACGTATCATTACTTTGATTTTATTCAATACTGTTAATTTATTTCACACATTAAGCAAATTACGTATATTATATATATATAATTTTTTTATTTTTTCGTAGTGTATATAGAAAAGAAAGTACTTATCAACTATAGGAAATAATAATTTATAATATATATAAAATATAAAATATATATAAATATTTTAGGTATATAAAAATTTTCTATAAATATATACCCACATATGAATTTTTTATTTTTTTATTTATAATTTAATATATTGATTATGACACATTTTTAGTAAAAATATGACACCTTATCTGGAATTACCTTCGTATATCAATCCGCCGTGTGCGATCGCCCTAAAATTCCACTCTATTTTTGCCGATAATTCTATCATACAATCTTCTACACATCTCCAATTGTTTTTAAATGGTGAACTAATTTGTTGGTGCGTTCCAACAAAATTGCAGAAAATACCGTAGAAAATGGATTCTGGGACTGAGGAAAAGACACCAAAACTGCAAAATGATCTCCTTGAGTCAAGAATACAAAGAAAACGTCGCCATACGGATGACGTTGAACAACAGAACAGTGACACTGCATCTAATACGAATAATGGAGCCGTGGCGGAGTATATACCTGCTGCAAAGGTACGCAGTGTTGTTGAATCGAACAAAGTTTGTATCACAGACTTTCCAGACGAGCTTCTTTACGAAATATTTAAGAATTTAGACTCTTGGTCGTATTACGTTCTTATGAAGTAAGTATGCCGGTTTCTTTTTTATGACATAAATATATATGTATGCGGTTATATCGGTTTCTATCATTTCAGCTGCTGTAATCGTTTCTATACTTTATTGATGGACCGACGGTTTTGGCACCATATAGATCTAAGTCAAAAACTATTGCCATTAGGTATACTTGAATATGTGATGGAGCGCACACATCAAGGAACTACAAGCATAAAATTGAGAGGTCCATCTAGAAAATATACAAGTGCGGAAATATTGAAGTTTAACAAAACGCTGGCGGATACTTTCGCGTTGCGTAGCACACAATTAAGTATTTTGGAATTACGTGGTGTTACAGTAGATCTTAGGAATGTAAGTAACTTATAATTGTTCGTGTGCCCTATTATTACATACTTGTTTTGTTTGAAGGTACGAATTGTGCATTTTCCGAAAACTCTAAAGCGCTTAGTTTTTAAAGATTGTAATATCTGTAAGCCACCAGAAGAACAAACTGTTTTTTCCGGTATTCACACACATTTAGTGAATTTGGAGGTATGTAAATAAACTACATTACAACGATTTACAATCTTTATTTAACATTACTCTAAAGGAACTTGGAATTGAATTCTGCAGTTGGTTTGAACCATATTATATCATGATGATATCCAAAATACCTTCACTTCGTTGGCTTAGTCTAAAAGGTTGTCCGCGATTGGGTGATTTTATACCGTATGGTAGCATGGCGGCTCGTTTTGGTTTTAAAAAATTAGAAGTAAGTATTTATCTAAATATTTGAGCACTGTTATTGTCAACTAAATATTGCTTGGAATTTTTAGTACTTAGATTTGCGTTTTACACCTATAACAGATTCAGATGTTCAATGTTTTAATATGGTACTAACATTAAAAGAACTACTACTTGAGTGTCCTTTAAATATGCGTGCTAACGATACAAAAACTAGCTTAGCAAACAAAAATAATAATAAGGATTCTGATAGTAAAGATTGTCAACCGTCCACATCAAAAGCATCAGTCACACGCGAAGACAGTAATTCACCTACTAATTCCATTACTGTAGAGGCCAATTTAAATACACCAGGACAAGAAGGACGTGAGGATGCATCTACGGAACAACCGACTTGTTCTAGCCCACAACCATCAACATCATCCTCTTCGTCTTCTACATCATCGTCATCGCCTTCATCTGCAATGAATTCACCTTTCGCTTCACCTTCGCGCTTGGCACTAGACAATCCAACAGACAACAACAACGGTCCAGAACCGGCCGGCAATGTACCGTCACGTAGCCGATTTTTACCGCGTCCAGATCAAGTTATATTCTTAGATTTTGTAAACCGCCGTCCGAGTATACGGCATGTGCGTCCGCTACCAATTTCGGATAATCAAATTGATCAAATGATACAACATCCACTATTTTGGAATATCATCAATCCTTTAAGCGGACGTGAAGCTAGTAGGTCGAGCTCTGGGTTAGGACAAGTGACGCACTTCAGTCCTCACCCATGTTTTCGCCCATATCCCATTTCAGATCGTGGCATTTGTTGCTTTGGGAGGCCGCAAAATCCAGTGGAGCATGGGGTATTTTGGATTCGTATTGGCAATCGTCCGAGCGAAAATAGCTTTGTAAGACTTAGCGTACGAAATTATAAAAAAGTCACCGACATCTCACTGCATCATCTCGTGCAATGTTCACCTGAGCTAATATATCTAGATCTGAGTGGCACCAGCGTAACGCGTGAGGGCGTAAAACGCTTCAAAGCTGGAAAACCTGAGTGCCAAATCATAGCCGACCATATTATTGAGACGAACGACCCTGATATACCGACAATAGATTAATTCTAAAGTACGTTTATACATATGGTGCTGTAATATTTATGATAACCTAACATGCACACTTAATACTACATACATAGATACATACATATATATTTATGTATATGTATATATATATCTCAATATAGTTAATAAGGACGCATATGATACTTGTTGACATAAATTTTATTCAGAAATATTTTGAAAGTATATATACATACATATAAAATGCATATGCAGTGGAAAGATAGTTTTCACAATGTTTAAAAAGATAGTGATAATATAATTGAATAAATATAGGAAATAATAAGCTTAGTCCTCATTCGCCTCATTATTGGACGAGTCCTCCTCATCGTCATCATCGTCGTCGTCATCCTCATCGTCCGTATCCTCGGACTCGGAGTCCGAACTTTGACAATCGGCAATTTCGCCAGTAAAAAACATTACAGCTTTTGGAATTACGCGTTCCTTTAGATAGAAACCGAGCTCAAAATCATTTTGTAAAATAGCCTAGTCAAGCAAGTTAGTTGAGTTATATAATCGTTATAATTATGTAAATTACTTGCATTTATATCGCAATAGTTTGGATCCTCTGTGTCTTCGGGCAGTGTCGGCGGACTGAAGAAGTCGAAAAACGAAGTGTATGCTGCAAATTTATTTCGTTCGTTTAGTTTCGAAGTTAAGAAAAAAAAATTATATCTACTTTAGTTTTATACATACATTTTTTTTCCTTTTCACTATTGCTTTGCTTCCAATCGATTTTACAACCTTCACATTTATAAATTTCAGCACCATCATACGAAAGCGGATCATCCACGTCGGGCAGACAATTCAAAAAGTATGTTTTCGTTAAAATAGTATTCGAAAAAAATTCATTCGGTTCAAAATGAAATTCAATAATAAACATAACTATCGGGTCGTTGCACAATGTTGATCGTATATCGGTGAGATGCTGAAAGTTTAACAAACAATATACTAAAAATACAACAATCAACGTGCACATAACGGCCACATACCGTTAGTATTTTTTCATCTTTTTTGCTTATAAACTCCGTGTATGATGCCTTGAGTACACGCAACCAAAAGTTTGACAAATTGCTCTCAGCGGTGGAAACATCTTTTGTCTTCTTGCGATAATCACTGCAAGCGAAGGCAATAAAGTTAACGGTAAATGCAACTTAACCATTGCTAAGTGAAACTTACTCGAGCAGTTTGACGCGCTTTTCGAAAATTGTATTATGCTTAACTTCAAATGATTTTTCCATATTATAAATCTCTTTTTGCAAATCCACGTCCAGCTTAATGGTTTCCAAGTAAAGTTTCTTAAGCTCAGTTATTGTTTTGGACTCGTCCTCACTGAACTTTTTGTCCTAGTAAATAGAGATTTTGATTAGCAAGTTTCACATACAAAAACCGTTATCCTTATTGCATATACTCATTTTACACAAAAAGTAGTGTCATTGAATATATATATGCTATTTTTGCAGGATTAAAAATAAATAATTTTATATAAAATTTATCGTGCGAAATGATTGCTGTTTGCATAAAATATATAAAAAAAATACAACAAAAATCAATAAAAAAAGTACGCTGTTGCTTGACGTTAACCTTAAAAGCATAAAAAATAAACAGAAAATTAGTGAAGTCTTCAATAATTGAGGTAGGTGGCTTCTGATCATTGCTCTATACCCTTCACAGGTGCATTACTTATACAATGAAACGGTATGAAAATAATTTATCTTGATTTTGATTGGTCAGTTTGAATGCCAGCCATGTATATGTTATAGTGATCAAATCTGAATAATATTTTTGGAGATTGTATCATTTTCTTGTAAAATAATTCATACCAAACTGCGGGACGATATCTTGTCAAATGAAAAACTTTTTCACACAACGACTTGGTTTTTATCGATCACTTTCTATGGCAGCTGTATCTTATTGTAGTCCGATATCGGTGGTTCCAACAAATGAGCAGCTTCTTGCATACATATATACAAATGAACATTGCTGAATCGACTCAGCTTGTCATGGTGATAATTTATATATATGTACATATACTTTAGAGGGTATTATTGTTTCACTCATCACAGAGCACATGTGATTACTTTCCCGATGAATGTTACTCACCGCTGTTTTCTTGGCGCTTGCTACTGAATTCTGCTTTGGCACAGGAATCTTCGGCAAGCTGCGCATCTTCATTGCTTCCATATTCATTGTTTACAGTTATATTGGCTCGCTGAGCTGTAATTAACGGAAATTGTAGAATTGAAATGTTTTTGATTAAAAGCAAAATAACATAAATTTTTGTTTTTCAAAATTTAGACACTAAAAGACAAGCCAAAGCTATTTTTGACGATTTAGCTCGTTCGTTTTTATTTCTACGAGCACAAGTAGAATATTTATGCATGAATGCGGCTTGGTTTCGAAGTGTGTACAATCCCCTCTGCATATGCTTCATCTGAGAAGCTAATAAAATGTCTATTTGTCCTTCAGTTTAGATTGTAGCTGAATGTGTTGTTGTTGTGGATGCGGGCGATGTTGTCTGTCTGGACTCATTTAACATCGTTCCGCGTGGCTTAGTAGCTGTTTTATGTAGGCATTGCGAGTTTGATTGAACATGAAGGCAATCGTAAAATGTGTTGGCGAAAAATTTCTTAAAATATATTTCTTAGCTAGCAGTCTAAAGTAGCCAGATGACAATCAATTTTTATGGTTAGAAAATTTCACGCCATCACAATCGGTTGCAAATTTTTCAATTCAAATATTTTGGAAAAATTTTCATTTTTTAATCACGATGTTAATTCAATTATTTTTTTAATGCATCGTTGGCAACGCTGAACACAGTTCATTTGGTAATTTTACATAAATATTTAGATACCGTTATGTTGCGCTTAATTCTGAACGGGACTAATAAAACATGATAATGAGATGTGTCATAATCCCATATAACAAATATTTTTTTCGAAAAATTTCGTCCTTCCTCCTTTTGCTTGATTCTGCATTTTTCAACTTTCGTATTGTAAGAAAATGAGAACTAGTATTTTTCTAGTTCAATAATAAAATTAAATTTGTATTATGTAGAAGAGCTGTTTGACTTAAGATACTGTTACTGAGGCTTTAGTTTTCTATAAAAGTTACATTTGGTAGAACGTAGTAAAGTGAGGACTCATTAAAGACCATATCCAGCATAGCTTGGCTACTTTGAAATCTTCGAATTTATTTTTGACAAGCAAAAAAGTTTTTATACGAGTATATAAATAGTTCGTTATAAAAAATCAAGTTCCAATACCGTTAACAGATATGTATATCATATGTGTGACTGCTTTTAAGGTTGTGCAGATTACATTCATGACCATATAACAGGTGCGTTTAAAGTTTTGAGGGGTTATATCCACTTGTAAGTCAGTAAAAGCGCGATTTTTTGGTGATTTTTTTAAATATGTAAATAAAAAGTGTTCATTTGCAGACCTTAATTTACTTGAATAATTATCGATTAATTTATATATATTGGATTCCCTTGATCTTTCGTCCGTAGCCGACCTCCAGTAGATCTACGAAAAAGATGCCTGGCGGTGAGGAAGATTTTTCTGCTTAAAATTATCTCAGATCAAAAAAAAAAAAATTATGTAACAGATGAATACAGATAATGATCGAAGGACCGGTAAAACTTTTAATTTTTTACGAAATGACGGTTTCTAAAAAACAAAGTAATTTTTTGTGAAAAAATTTACACTTCAAGGGAAGCTTAGAAAACGAAATTTTCATCAAAAATCTTATCCCTTCGATCGATCAGCTGACAAATATATCTAAGAAAGTTATGTCGTTCCAGCCATTTCGGAGAAATTTCCCTAATCGACACTGAAAACAGCGATTATATCAAGATAAAAAATTCTTACAAATGCGCTCATATCTTCGAAACTATTTGCCTGATCAACTTAAAATTTTTGGAGAATATTTTCAAATATTTATATATACATTCGACATACATATAAAAATGTTACCGAAATTTAATTTAATTATTCATTATAGTTGTTCAGAAGGACGATTTATTGCTTTTTCAACTTTTTGATAACACTTTTGTTGTACGATAGACCTTTTGCTTTAAAATAGGCGTAGTCGTGGTAATTACCACTGCATTGTCGCTAACTTTCTCCCCAGCGAGTATTTTCTTCAGGTTCTCAGTCCGACTCTCACGAAAAAGTCATTGAGAACCTGGAGGGTCTTGAGAATACGGTGGATGTGGAATCAATTCGAAGCAATTTTTCCATTGTTTTATCTCATGCATGAACCAACTGTCCGATGAGGACTTGTGTACTTTGAAGGTTAGGGCTCACCTAAACATGTGAACTTAATTCTAGTGACGCCTGGAAATGCTATTAAATTTTCTTTGCTTTGCTAAGTATATTTCAGAAGTAGTTATTTCAGGACCTCCTGGCGCTTTCTGAATTATACTTTTTACCAAGAGTTTTGCACTTCAAAGCGTAGTAACTGTTCTAAATGTCTTGTGCTGCTGCTGCCGCACTGTTATGTTTCAAGCATTGCGAAAAAAACTTAATTATGCCTCGAAGTGTAATTAATCCCCAGCGGGCTATTCAGTACGGCCTACTGTTGTCGCACTTAATGCAGAACGCACTTTATGTAGCTGTAACTGGTTGTCGGTGTCAATGAAGCAGCGCATCGGCAATTATGGCACAAACGCGCTGTCCTGTGTCCAATTGACAAACGCTTATTGCTTACTAATTGAAGATACCGAATGCGCAGTACCGTTCACTGTTTACCATCCAACAGATACTGCAAATGAGCAGGAGCAGAACAAATAAAGCGGCTGCCGTAAGACTCCCCAAGCACCAACCGAGCCGCTGGCGCTGCTGCCAGCTGGCCATTTGGCCATTTCTACGCGCTGCTCAGGCGACCTGTAGAGTTGTTTGGCGTTCAGGCGTTCGCACGATGTCCACTACTCGGTTGGGCGCCAGCGCAGAGGATATGCTCGGCTGCACTCAGCCATGTGACGCGTTGCATGCCACCTGTGGTGGTAAAAGTCAACAAAGAGTCAGCGAAATCACAAAACACTTGGACGAAGTGCACAAAGGAAAATACGTTATGAAATGGGCATGGCAAGACAAACCAAAGTGTAAGGCTGTGTGGGAGCAGCCTGCGAACTGAAATGTAATGAAATTATGAGTGGGAATACATACGTGTTTACAAATGTACATATGGACATGTGTGTGGGGAAAAAATGTCGCAAATGTAAACAAATTCAGCGAAGCGAAGAAAAATTCGCTGGACCGTTGAGTGGTGGTTGTCTGTGTAGACTAGCGGCAAATAGGTTATGTGTGTTTATGCGTGTCACAATGTGCATTGTTGGCGTCGTATTCGCAGTTATTAATTTTTTTTGTGGCACACGCTAAACACCTTAGGGAAATTAACTTAAAAAAAATAGTTTCATTTATTTTAACGTCGCCTTTTTCGCAATTACATTCTACTAAAGACCTGGCAAGCGCTTATGCCACTCAGTAACGGCACTTTTTTCGACTTTCTTCCTCATATGTTTGTATTTATGTGTGTGTAAATGTTTGCGGCCCCTCAGCGTGTTGTATTTTTCTTATTTGTTAACCTTTGAAAAACTGCACATTGATTACATTTCAAACATGAGAGCCTCTTGCCTTGAGCGCTACCAATTAACTGCAATGTTTAACACTTTATTTTCATAGACTCGGCAGAACTCGGAAATAGTCAGTTTGCTAATAAATTAAATAATCTAATTTCTGTTTTATATTAACCAGACTAATATAAAGGACACTTGTTTAAAGAGGATCCCTATAAAATAATCGTGTTTGATCCTTGCTCGTTGGTGATCGTCAACCGATTGACATTGTCGAAATGTTCGTTAAACATGGTTACTCTGAAGTGAATCGCAACTCTGTCTTCTTTTCATTCTACTGATCTGGTTTTTCTATCGGGATCTGAAATGTATTTATGGCCTTGACATCTTTCATGTTACTATAATATGCAAATATGTGAAGAAGACAAGTTTACGACCCAAAACTGTGGTGCCATTTTGACATTTCTGAGAAAACTTCAAGGTTTAAAAGGTTCAAAGAAGTATATGTAAGAAGACAGTTTCCTAAATTTCGTTTTTTGTTTTCAATTGCTATCAGGAGTTTACGGAGTGAGAAAAAGCAGGTCATTGATGATTTGCGCCACTTAGGGCCGTTTTCTCAATGTCTGCTTAATATTATCCTTAACCGCTGGTGGCTTAACTGGATGATAGCGATATAGAGGAAAGACGAAGAGAACGCGTAGCTCATGCTTGGGTGGTGCGCTTTGTGTTATTTTCCGTAACAGCTCGCTGCTACGCAATTCGGTATTCCTTTTAATTTTGAAATTCCTTTCATCGTTGCAACAGCGCTCGGTTTAAAAGGAATATTTACCTTATGTTCGAATATTTAAATGTTATTACCCTGTTTTTTGTATATAATATGCATATATTAATGAAAATATGCTTAATAACTAATGATAACGAGCGACAAAAGAATCACCGTTTGAACTCCGTCTATGCGTATAGATTTTACAGCTAACAGCTGTCATTTCATATGCTATATGTTAGAAACTAACCAAGACTCCTTCTTTCGGTAAAGTTTACCAGAACTTAACTGACATATGGTTGCTAACCAGATATTAAGAAAACCATTTTTCAACATGTTGCTGATAAAGTTCTGTTTAAGCGCTTAACCAGACATTGAGAAAACGGTCCTAAAATACTTGTGTGATAAACACGAAAACTTCTGCAACATTTTCAACGATTCAAATAGCTGCCAAATATACACTAATTGACATATGGAGATCAAATAACTCACACGAACATAAAAAAGATGATTCTGTTTGCGCGTACAGCTTAAAAGGTCCAGGCTGAGTAAAATTTGATCAGATCGTATACTCAAGCTATCTCAACCAAATTTCCTTCGGTATGGTCGTAATTTTTATTCTAGTAATGGGTGTAACTGGTCTCCCCCAGCACAAATTTATTGCATGCAGGGATCTTAGGAACCGAATCCCATTTTCAATACTACTTCTTCTATAATAAAAGTATGCAATGATGCAGAACACTCAAATGCGGCCTGCAGCTCATTTCGGTTGCGAATTAAATGTCAAAACTAAAGAAAATGCTGTACGTGTAATAAGTTTGCTTCTAAAGCTTTATTTAAAATGAATGTGTGGCTGTGTATCTGATTGAACAATGGAGGCATCGTGCGTGGGAGTATGCATACACATTTATATGTATGTATGTATTTATGTACGTCTGTGTGTGTGTGTGCAATTGCAGACAATATTACAACTTATTGCCACATCCGTTTCCGCAAACGATTTCATTGAAGCGGAAATAAAGATATCCAATAAACCGTGTTATTACCGCCATTTTGGTTTTACATGAATAGTTTCACATTTAGGGGCGCTTGTTTGCATGGCTGTGTGTGTGTGTGTGTATGTGTATGCGCTGTCAATTATGAATGCATGCATTCGCACTGTTGCTGGTGTTTTAGCTGATTTCAAAGCGTTTTTGCATGAATTATTTTTCTGATTAACTTTTTTGTGCTTATTTTCTGTAGCAGTGTGTAATTCTTTCATATTTTTCGGATATAATTCAATTTATATTAGCTTATTTTCTTTTTTAAAGTTTTTTGATGTATTTGAGCAACGCTGCTCTTAAAGTCTTCTGAACTAAAATCTGGTAATAAGAAAAAA